ACACCAGAGATGGCCAATCAACAAATGCACACTGTAAAGAACACTAAAGCAAAGGATATATTTAAAAATTATTATATTTTAATTTTCCTCTTTATGATTTTCATCCTTCTCCATTTTTCTAAAATAATAGTATTTTATTTTCAGTTTAAAGACACCTATTAGCAATGTGCAATCACAGTTAAGGCAAAAAGGAAAAGACAGATTTTATATTTGAAATGCATTAGAATAAAGATGGTAACCATAATCACAAAAAAAAAGTAGTAATGATTTGGAAGAGAAACTACAAATAATACAGAAAGTAGAGGTAAAAATTGTGAGCCCTGTAAAGTGTCCCTGGCTGGGAATGGCTGGGGGAGACAGAGAGGCTGGCTGGGCGAGAGAAGAGGAGCATCCCTGTGTCTTAAGTCGTCAGCATCACCCCACCCGCCTCCTCTGATCTTGTCTCCCTCTCTCTGTGTCTCTCTCCCTCTTTTCATCTCCACATTTAATAAACTCTTCTTAACTTTAAGAGAGAAAACTGAGAGGTAAATGCAACAGAGAAGTAAGGGAAAAAAAAAAAGTCAGTCAGTGTGCCAACCAAGAAATAATTGGTGACCTAAATATCAGTTTACAAAAGTAGTAAGAACAACAGGCACATTGTAGGTTCTGGTATGCTCATTTTGTTCTAGGAGATGAATTTCCCTTCCTCCTCCTGTCCTCAGGAGCATCAGAATAGGTATCTACAGCAATTTACAATGCTCATTACTTTTTGAGAGTTTCCTCAGACATATAAGCAGGTCTTTCAATTCTGATTCAAGCAAAATGCTAGAAACAGAATATTAGTAGCTATATAGAAATAATGCCTTTATTTCCTGGGGAATGATGAAAGTTGTGGCTTTGTTAGAAGGGAACTTTTAGGTAATAGGGGCAGGGTAGTCAGCTTATTGGTCTCTGCAGAAAGCTGGCTCCCAGGGGATAGAAATATGTGTTGAACAAAAGAATGAATCAATGCATGAATAAATCATGTCCACACACTTGAAAAACTATGTTCTGTAAAGATGCACAAATCACTTTCATTCCTCTGACACTTAACTTTTGCAAAGTGGAACATCGAAATCCAAACCTTGGATTATTACTCTTCTACTGATAAATGAATTCACTGGTCCAATTAGTGCAAATATTTTACATAAATGCCAAAAATGAACTATTACTGAGCAGTTCTCAAACTACCTTATGTCCACAGTAACAAAAATATGGCTGCAAACGAATATTCATTATTATAACATGCATGTTTTTAAAAATAAATAAATAAAATAATAGAAGTGAAAAAAATATTTACAGTGTTATGTTTTAACTATACTTTATCATAAAGATTCCTCTTACATTTTTCATGTATTTTCAAACAAAATAATGGTCTTTGTGCCACTTTTACAAGGTCTAATGAAGTAATTTCAAGTCCTCCTACAACTACCTTGAAAGGTAACTTTGGGAAGTTACTGGATTAACTAAGGTCATCAGAGTGGAACCTCCATGGTTGAATACTAAGGGCTTTATCAGAGTGGGGAGATCCTTGCCTCTCCAGAGGCTGAGACAGGAGGATTCCAAGTTCAAGGCCAACCTTGGCAACTAAGACCATTAGATGGATAAGAAACTTACGTGATCTGGTAAGTTTCAAAACGGAAATTACATTTAGAGGGAAATTAGCATGGAGAATCCATGGAATTTTGAAAGTTTTAAAATCTTTGGGTAAACTATGAAGATAATTAAAGGATGTTAAAAATCCCATGTCTTAGTTTTATGTTGGTAATAACAATAACAGACTAGGTAAGTGATAAACAGAAGGGGTTTATTGGCTCATAGTTCTGACCCAAGGTCCTAGAAGCCATATTTTCTCATGACCTTCTTACTGACAAGAGTCCCAAGGTGGCACAGGACATCAGATGGCAAGAGACAGAAAGTGTGTGCACTGTGGTCTCTTTCTTGCTGCTGCTATTGGTTTCTCCTCCTCTCTCCTCCTCCTCCTGCTCCTCTTCCTCTTCCTCCTTTTCCCAGGATCATTCGATTTCTAAGCTACATCCCAATCCTCCTTTTAGTTTATTTTCGACAAGTTCTGCCTAAGTTGCCAAGGTTGGCCTCTAATTTGAGATACTCCTGTCAAGGCCCCTGGAGTAGCAGGCTGTCCTGCACTTCTTTTAATCCATCAGTATGCTGTTGTGGGGACCCCCCTGATGATCTTAGAGAATCTCAATCACTTCCCAAAGGCCTCACCTCCAAACACCATACTCTGATTAAGTTCCTCACAATGGGGTTTAAACTCCAATACAAGTTTTGGAGGGCATAAATTTTACTCAAACTACAACAGCAGAAATCAAAAATAGAACTGGACTATTCACTTGTAAAAGACAGGACTGGACTATTCAATTGTAAAATTCATAAGGATTTGTAAGAGAGCTGAGGGTAGTTTTTTTCATTGTTTTTTTAAATATTTTTCAATATTTATTTTTTAGTTGTAGTTGGACACAGTATCTTTATTTTATTTATTTTTATGTGGTGTTGAGGATCAAACCCGGCACCTCGAACATGCTAGGCGAGTACTCTATCACTGAGCCACGATCTCAGCCCTTTTTCATTGTTTTAAACCAAAAAGGTTAGTACATATATCTGATAGCATAGTCCCTCCTGAGTTCTACCCAACTTCAAATCTCTGCTCCACTTAGTCGGTACATGATTTTTGACAATTTACTTACTTTTTATACCTCAATTTCTTCTAACATGAAAAAATAATGCAAATATTTCTTTAAAATGTACCCAACATTTCACAAGCATATTAGTTAGCTATGAGGATTACAAGACCTTATTAATTCATTATAACTTCAAATACAAATGCTAGAATAATGAGAAGTTTCATCATAACCAGTGTTCTTCTCAAGATTTCTTCCTACAAAAACTGTAGGGCTTATATATTATGAATATGGAGTTTGAGTTAAATTAACTGCCACTGTGGAGGAAAATTAAAAGCCAGTTTCACATTTTTACTCTTTCCTCTTTCCTTTCCAGTTGGCAGAAAAGTTAAGACAAAGAGGTCACAGACAGAAACTTGATTAGTGTCCAGTGAATTTGGACATAGTCCTGCTAGCCAGTTCTTCAAGGGCACAGTGTAATAAAAACCATTCAGTGAAATAAGGAAGACAGAAGAATATCTAAGTCACAGAGGATGAAGTTGAATTTTACTTCTTTTTCTACTTAGACATTACTTCTTAAAAAAACAGCAAAATTAAAAATCAGCCAACACACCATTTTATTATTCGTTATCTCCATACATATATGTACAATACCTCATTTAAA